AACACCTGAGGAACAAAGACTAAGCTGGTCCCAGGCTAATGGGATTTCTAGCTTGTATATGGAAACTTGGTGGGCTGTTTGTATCATCAGTCAGGGTGAGAAATAGATAGGATTTGAATTAGCAATCTAGTATGTTAGGCTTAGTTTGCATTTTTGTTTATTTGCTTGGTAATCTGCTTTGATCTATTTCTAATCACTTAAAATCAATCTTTCTATAGTTAATAAACTTGTTTTATGTTTTATCTTAATCAGTGTGTTTTGAGTGAAGTGTCTGGGAAAATCTCTGCTCTATAAACAAAGGCTGTTGCATATATTTCCCACATCAAGGGGAAAGTGAACTATATTAATGAGCTTGCACTGTACAAACCCCTGTGCTGTACAAGATGATATAATACTGGGTTTATACTCCATCAAGGGTGCAAGGCTGGGGAGCTGAGAAATTGGCTGTTGTCTTCTGTCTGCCCTTGAGTGGCTTAGGTAAAGCACTCAGGTAGCTCAGTTGGGTGTGTGTGGTGCCACCTGCTGTCATGTTGGGTGATAACAGAGCCTGGAGAGGCTGTCTGAATCACCAGAGAACAGTGTGAGAGAGACCAACCCAACTGTATGGTTACGGGGCAAAGCGGTTCCCCTGGCTCCCAGACTGCACCACAGGGGTGACAATCCCTCACACCTGGGTCCTGTTAAGGTTACTTTGCAATACTAGAGTGGCACAAAATGTCCTTAAAGATGCTCTGAAAGGGCAGCTGATGCTTAGCCCAGTGCAGCTGAACCCAGGGCCAGCCCATTTACTGCTGGGCTGTTCTGGGGCAGTGAGTGGGTATGATAGAAACCAGGGAAGATGGGGACAGAGATCAACACTAACAGTAAAAAGTTCCTATGGGGAATATGCTAGCTGGCATAAACTAGAGCAGCCCTGTAGGTGCTCTAACTTGTGGCAAGGGTCAGGTCTCCCCCTAGCTGGTTCGGGATCAGGGGAGACATGAAGATGGCTTATAACCCCCTCTGCTTCACTCCTTCTGCCTGCATTAAGACTGAGCTCTAGTCGTTTACTTTAAAAACATACAGTACATATACAAAAGCTACTACCTTTGCAAAGTCAGCTGCAGATTTTGCAATTAATACAGAAGAGCTTCCACTAAACTGATTACTTAATATGGGAGCTTGCTTTATTTCTGTTATAATACAGAATGGCTTGTGCGATTGTGTATTTGTAATTTGAGGAGACCTGCACTCGACACTTGCAACATAATCTCTTGATGGGTCTTTAAATCAGAAAAAAATGAAACACAGATGGCTGTATAGTCTGTCTGTCTGGGTTGCACAACCCAGTAACATTTCATCGAGGATCCATATGCATGACTGTGAGACACTCTTGGAGACCAAAAGCAGTGCTGAAATGTCGTGCTTGTTCTCCATTAGGGAAAGATGCCCTATTTGCTGCTCTTGAAACACAATCCTGGGACGATTAGTAGAGCAGGATTAATAGTAGCCAGGAGAAAATCATGTTGATGGTGTACTGTAACAGGAGTAATGCAAAGCAAACACTCCAGTGCTCTTTCCACTGGACCAGACTGATGGAGTAATGCCAGATTTATACTGGTATTTAGTTCAGTCCAGGTCTCAGTGGACAGGTGTCTACATCACAAAAATCATAGCTAATTTGTCACCCTTGTTTTCAGTAGTGGGAGAAAAACCAAGGAGTGAATGAGCATTTGAAACACCATTGCTCTTATCCACAGAAGTCTCTCTAGGTCAGAGAAGAAAGATACCAGCAGGGCAGAGTGGAGAATCTTGGACTGCTTGTTCCATTGCCCTATCTGTTCTGTGGGGAAGAAGATCACCCAGATGCTATTAGCCAGGACGGGTAAGGAATGGTGTCCCTAGCCTCTGTCTGTCAGAGGGTGGAGATAGATGGTAGGAGAGAGATCATTTGATCATTGCCTGTTAGGTTCACTCCCTCTGGGGCACCTGGAATTGGCCACTGTCGGTAGACAGGATACTGGGCTAGATGGACCTTTGGTCTGACCCGGTACGGCCTTTCTTATGATCTTATGTTCACCCTGTACAGAGGGCCAATACAGTATGCCCTAGATGACTATAGTATGAACTCTCTAGGGTTCTCAGTCCTTCACAAGCACTAAATTCACTTGCAGCCATGTTCTGACACCCTTACATATCCTCATGTCAATGGGACTGCTTGAAGAGTAAGGTGCCACTGACCAGGAGTGACAGGCCAGAGGACTCTTTTAAATAATCAAAGCAGAATGAGAAGATCCAGAGTCTTTCCAGCATTGGTTGAAAATCTCTGGAAATCCCCAATAGAGAATGTGATATTTCTAGGTCTACCGTGTGTGGAACAGACTTAGCCAACTGCTATTTCTCAACATTTGGGAAGGAATGATCAGTTGATTAAGCTGATGGGGAAATTCAGACTCCCAACATTCCAGAGGTGAGAGGGGAGGCATCGGAAAGTCCTTGCATGTGGTGCGGTGTTGAAGGGTGTTTTTTACTCTACTGACAGTTGTGAGAAATTAAAGATACATTAGGCAGAAGTGGCATGCTGCAAAATAAAGGCCCTAAATAAATGAATCTGGAGGTTAACAAATAAGGCAGAGAGAACAGTTTTTGGCTCAGGTGACTGTAGTACCCTTTCCCATCACCACTGCAGAGCTGGCAGCTGCACTGGACCAGCTTATGTAGGGCTCAGCAGACAGTTGGTGCTGTAAGCTTACCAAGATGTGACCACCTCGCCCATTCCCACTGAGATGAACTTGGAAGAGTTTTTGACTAAGCAGCGATAACTTGAATCTAACCTTTATTATGAGAGATTTGGGGATGGAGGGTAAGGTAAGGTGGCTAAACTGACCAATTAACCATTGAGGAATTAAACCTGGGAGCATCTGATACCTAGGAGCCAGGAACAGATCTGGATCTATTTGAAAGCAAGTATCTTATCTTCATAGTATTCTGAGCAAGAGAACTATTCGTTTACTTGCAGGAGAACGACACATATTTTATACTTTTCATCCACCGCCAAGCAAAATGTAATGGGGAGAAATAAAGCCCTTTCAAGTTCCTGTGAGGGTGGAGGTACTCTCTGTCCTGAGAGGAATATTATATCTGTTTAATAACTGGTTAGCTATTAGTGTTTCCAAAGTGGATCTGTTTGAGTCCAATTACAGTGTCTCTCAGCTTTTCCCCTTTTCTGAGCCTGTTTCATCAAAGGGGTCAGAATTTATCTTGCTCTTCTTTGCATCCTTCAGGGTTCTCTAAGAGCAGGATTAGGAGTTGAGCAAAATGATTCTATACCTTCTGTCTATAGGGAATGGTTTGATACCTCCGTAAAAAAAAAAAGCAAAAGGTCTCAGAACTATTCTCTAAAGCCATTCCATTCAAAATCCTCCACAGGCTACACAGTAGTAGAGCCATCCTTTGGGAGCATGTGGATGGAGGCAGGAGGGGAATTCAAGGTCTCACTAGTTCATGTGGTTTGCTGATACACAAAGTTCATCCCTTTTAATCAAACATAGTTATTAGAACAAATTTGGTTCTTGCCTCCAATCCACCATTTATTCTGAGAAAACACCATGAACCTGTCTAGCCCGAGTCCCTATGAGCAGTTATTGCTCCAGAGTGTCATCAAAGCTGCCAAAAGCTGATCTAAAGTGACAGAACTAGTTCAAATGAAAGAACAACCCACCTGAACTGTCCCTGCTTCCTGGAGAGACGCTGACCCATTTACGTGGTTCAGAAGACATCAGATAACATCCTGTGCAAGTCCTTGTTCCTTTTGCTGCTAGAGTTGTGCGGTTTAACAGCCTCAGAGCCCTGAGCATACATTTTTCACTTTTGATAAAAAGACAGTATAGCGCTTGTTCTTCCTTCAGTCTGGGGATGATCTACTATGTCTTTCCTGTAGCTATTTATATACTGTGACATGCTGCAGAGCTAACAAATGACATCCTAAGAGTAAGGTTGGAACACATTGTATGAATGCACTGTTACACAAAAAATGGTATTCCCATGCTACTACATGCCAATTCTTCTGAGTCAGAAGAGGGCCTGAAATCTATTGCTTTCTGTTTTCCAGTGCTGACCACTTCATTGATTTCACAGATCTGGGGTCTCTGTGGGATCTCTATGTGACTGTCGAGAAACAAAAATTATGCGAAATATTCCTGAAACACAGTGGATGTTCAGTGCTTTGTATTCTGGTGAAACTGATCAGGACCTTTCAGTTGATGTTAGAAATCTGTAGAATTTTTGGTTTAAGTTTTATGTGTGTAGTGGAAGCAGAAACAGAAGAAGTGTGGAATAAATCACATTGATATCACATTCTTTCATAGTTTAATATTCCAGCATTTCTCAAGTCCTCTGCTGTTTACACAGCAAACAGAAGACACTTTAAAAGCCCTTTACCCTAAAAAAGGAAAGTGTATGTATCAATCACCATATGCTCCTTGTGGGCCAGATTCTCATGTCTTGCTGAGTTGTTCTGGGCATGAGGCCAGAGATAGGACAAAGGTGGCTTTAGGCCACCTTCACATGGGGCCAGCTGGGGCTGGTCCATTCCCTAGCATAAGAGCAACTTTGCGGCATCTCTAACTTACAATCATCTACCCAGGATCCTAATGGGCTATTTTGATAGCAAGTGGTCATGGTGTAGTAGGGACACCCTAGCCAAACCTCCTTTTTTTCCATGCCTAGACTCTATGCTGGGCATAAGAGCATCCTGAAAACCTACAAACATTCGCATTTCCAGTGACCGGTAATGAAGGAATCGAAATAGCAGGGACATAAGTAAAATGGAAAGGATTTAAATCAAATACAATTGGTGTCAGTCAAAGTGATTTTTCTTAGTGGCTGCCCTTTTCTCTTATATAAATGTTCTAAGAATGTAAATCCGTAATTACTCAGAAAATGGTATATTTATCAATTTGATATAGGTTTTTTAAAATTAAAAAATAGTCTAATAACCCCTTTTTTTTTTTTTTTTACAGATCAGCTGATTTTTAACACACCAGTCAGAATGCATACTTTAAATTGTGGTACACTATGCAACTCTTGCTTCACCACCACCATGTACCTCTGTCAAATAGAACAAGAGCAGCTGCATCATAAATCATTTGGTACAACATTAGTAAAGTCTTTGTATCAGGCCACAGTTACAGAGTAAATGTTTCCCCCTTTGAAAATAGATTTCTTGCCTTGGCTTTGATGTTCAGTTTGATAAATGATTCGACTTTGCCTTAGGATTTCTGTGGTAGTGGGAAACAATTATTCCACAACAACATTTAATTTCATTGATATTATCTATTAATTTAATTGTATTTGAGGCTCGTGACAATCCTGAATTTGGAGGGGGGAGGGCAGGGGCAGCTCTATGGTTTTTGCCGCCCCAAGCACAGCAGTCAGGCGGGCTTTCGGCGGCACGCCTGCGGGCTGGCCACACGGATTCGGTGGCATGCCTGCAGGAGGTCCGCCGGTGCTGCGCCTTCAGCATCCCCACCGCCGAATTACTGCCGAAGCCGCGGGACCGGCGGACCTCCCGCAGGCATGCCGCTGATGGCAGCCTGACGGCCGCCCTCACAACAACTGGCAGGCTGCCCCCCGCGGCTTGCCGCCCCAGGCAGGTGCTTGCTGTGCTGGTGCCTGGAGCCACCCCTGCGGGAGGGGAAGATGCTAAATTAACCTGTTACACATCAGGCTCACAATACCAGCAACTCATTAACCTTAGGAAACACATTTCTACCTAAAGTAATATTTTTGCTCTTTGCTATTCTTCAATATTATTTTGATCATCTCAAGCGCTACTGGTAATGGGGAATGGGGCACCACAAGCAAATATACTGGGGAGTGTGCTAATGCAAATAAAAACACATTCCATGCTGGCATGCTTCCTGTGCACAGGAAGGCCCTGTGACCTTGTAGATAGATAAATCAGGGGACAAAGGTACAAGCCAAAATTTCAAACAAGGCCCCTGAATCTTAGGGTATATTGGGCCAGATTTTCAGAGGTGTGACCACCTGCAGCTCCCAATGACTTCATTTGGAATGATGCGTGCTCAGCACTTTGGAAAATTAGGCACTAGGTATTTTAAGTTGGGAGCCCAAAGTCACAGGCCACTTTTGAGAATTTTGGCTTAAATTGCTTAGAGTCACACAGTAAGTCAGTGGCAGAACAGTAACAGAAGGCAGGTGTCCTGGTCAGCAATCCAATGCCCTATACATTATTATACCAGTCTGCCTACCAGTTTCCTATCTTCCACAGGCTACCTCCTGAGCTCTTTGCTTATCTTTTGCTGCTGAGGTGAATGATTCTGTGCAGGCAGCATCTTGCTTTGCGTGTGAAATGTCCAACGTGCCCTCAGTCAGTTTTTAATAGTGCTAACGAGATTAATGCCCAGAATTTACTTATTAATATTTAATGCTGAATTCTACTAGGGTGACCAGACAGCAAGTGTGAAAAATCGGGACGGGGGTGGGGGTAACAGGAGCCTATATAAGAAAAAGCCCCAAATATCGGGACTGTCCCTATAAAACACCTGTCTACAATTTTTGAGAAGTCGTCTGCTTCAGAGATAAAATGTGCTATTTATTATGTATTTTGATGTGCTGAATTCAAATATGACAATTAAAACAACTGATTGGCTACTGTTTCTAAGATATTTAAGTTTTTACATTTTATGTCTGTGTATATTGTGTAGATAGTAGAGTT